TCTGTGTGTCTCATGGAGAGCAAGCTGGGGTCTGTGAAAAGACAAATTCCTAATGCAAGAAATTGTATATGGCCAATAAAGTGAGCTTATCTTATCTAACTACTTCATTACACAAAATTATCATATACACACCTGAAGAAGACTCCACGGACAAAACGTTTTCTTTCTTCTTTTTTTCAGCATGGAATAAACCTATTACTTGTTCTTTTGCAGTCTATGCATGCTGACACAGCTACCCACCTGAATTATCATATACAGTATATTATCACAGTAACAAATCCACTGTAAATATAGTGAGAGCAGATCCACGGCATAATTATGTTTATTATGGACACAACTGGAGGCAAAATTCTGGGGACCCCCTGGACAGGATTTCCCAGGACCCCTGGATGAGGTACTAATGCCCTGAACCATTTTATGAATAATCCCTGTTCTATTCACATGACTAATCACCTGTGATTAATATGAATTCTATTCGTATGAATAGATTGAACATCTCTGAGGAAAAAAATAGACTTTGCTTGTGGCATTCTGGCAACAGCTTTGTGAACACGCAAAAGAAAAGACACAAATCTCCCATCTGGCCAGTTTAGATCCTCAGATGTCAAGTTTCCTGAAAGAATCCAGGGTATCGGCTTCACCAACCAGCCTGGGCAGCGTGTTCCACACTCCCACAGCCCTTCGGTAAAGAAGCGTCTCCTGTTCCAGTTTTAAACACACTTCCACCCAGTTTCTGCTTCTGTCCTCCGGTGTGTGTTTCACTGATCACTGTCTGGAGAAATCCACGGGCTCGGTGCCTTGAGGATATTGAATACTTGTATCAGGTGTCCTAATCTTCTCTCGAAGATTTAAGACTAAAAATGTTCCGTTCACTCAGGCTGCCAGCAAAGGGCATTTCCTTAAGCCCCGGAAGGTATCTAATTCTGTTTAATTTATATATTAATTTATGTATACTCGTGTATTTTGTTGTTTAATGTAATGTCCCTTGCAATTATGTATCACGAAAGGCGCTGAATACGTTTTAGATGTTAATTACTTGCTTGGTAAATACCTGAAGTATTCATTCCATACTGTACGTGCCCTTACTCGGCACCCATAAGAAAGCAGCCAAAAGATTCTTGACTGCAGTTGAGCTTTTGAGACAAGTCTTGAGTCAGCAGGTTGGAGGAAGACCTGTAGGGTTGTAATATTTCAATGACATGCACAGATGAGTTATGTGAGCAGTGCAACGCTGCGGCTGTAAGTTTAACAGTAAAATGATAAGGACGCACTTTTAAAACCAGAGGACAAACTGCTCTATCGTGAGAGAAGCGTGTTCGAACGTCAAACTGCAGGGGCGGGACTACGCGCAGGAGCTGAGGCTGTGGTTGGTTTGCCGTGGCACTGAGGGGCGGTGCTACGCGCTGGAGCAGAACCTGTGGTTGGTGGGCTAGGTGCCGAGGGGCGGTTCTACGCGCTGGAGCTGAGCCTGTGGTTGGCGTGCCGTGCGCTGAGGGGCGGGGCCGCGGAGGCGCCCTCTGAAGCGCCGCCTGTGGTTTTTGTTCCCAGTGCCGAGGGGACAGGAGTGTCTGCGGTGCGAGCTGCTGATGAGCAGGTCGCCCTGAAGCTACACCACGGTCGGGTGAGTGCAGGATATATATATATAGTATTTAAAGGGGCTGGCCAGTAAAATAATAATTCCCAGTTACTCGGAGAAGTCGGAATTCTCGCAATCGCGCATGTAAGCATTTTCCAGATCAGGAAATTCGGTATTATAAACATCAAGTAGTAGAGGCGTTACAAGTTTAAGGATAATACGGGTGTTTTGTGTTACTACAGCCTGTAAATTTATGACCGGTTCCAAAACGGAAGAAAAGGTGAATCCCTCCATAAACAACCCGTGCGCCTCTGTTAAATCTACAAGTGTCCGACAGAGCGCCGCGCATTTCGTGCCTCGTCCGCAATGGAAACTTTGAAAGCTCGCAGTGCCGAGCAGCAGTAGTCTAGCAGGAGGTGCCGCAGGGCGAGCTTCTCTTCAGCCTGCGGGGCAGTGGCGGTGAGCCGCTGGGAGAGGCCGGGCGCCGCATCAGGGACTGGTGCACCTGGTCGTGCTCCGAGCCCCCTGCCTCTCTTCCCTTGAACACGGCTCCCCGAGCAGCGATTTGCGGAAAAAAGGCGTCCCTAGCGATCAGACAGGGGTGCGTGACCTGCCGCTTGTACCTCAGCTTACTGCGTACTGAGGGGTTAAGCGTGGAGGAACTGGGCTTTCTTTAGTGGCCTCTGCACCGCAAATACAACCTCCCCCGACTTCACCGGATCTTCTGGCAGTACTCTTTTGACATGAAGGGGATGTAAACGCTTTTTCCGGGCTCTCTAGCATTTTTTTAAAAGTTTTTAACATGATACATCAGTACCGCGTCTTGACATCGCCGTATTTTTTGGCATAAAACCATTGACTGTATTCACGGGAGACACCCACACCCACGAAACCAATCCTTTAGTAACTGTCATACGCAACCCAACTTTAGTTCCTCCCCGCTGTTGCGAACCCACCGGCCATCCCGGTGATCTGCTCACCGGTCAATGCAGACACTGTCCACTTCCCCGTATTCCCTGTATCCCCTGCTCGGGGAGCCGTGTTCAAGGGAAGAGGGGCAGAGGGCTCGGAGCACGACCAGGTGCACCAGTCCCTGATCTGTGTGACCTATCAGCGGCTGGCTGGAGCTCACCCCTGCCGGTCTCTGCCTATCCTGGATATGTGGCTTATGTTGGTGTCTATGCCAGAGTGCACAGATTGAGAATCCAGGCGCAGGAGATGGTTAGTCGTCATTGCTGACCTGGCTGAGCCGGTTCCACAGGCCCAGTGACGTGGCGGACTGCAGCTGCACCGCGCTGCAGGGAGCAGGAAGTCAAGGTTTCTCGATGCCCAGGCTTGTCATTGAGAGGCCCAGGGTGGTGTAAGCAGCTGAAGTGTCCTCAGTAAGGTGTCTGGGCTGGGAGAAGCCATTAAAACGAGCTTGTGTAGCAAGCTGCGGGCGCGGGGAGCAGGGGAGAGAGGCCCCACTAGTGTCGGATGACACTGTGGAGACCGCTGTGCGCGCGCCGCCCGAGCCCGTGGAGAGGCCTGGCTGGCGCGTCGCGGGCAGCGCTGTTGTACCTGTCTCGGGTGTCCGCGGGGGTGTGAGGACCTCGGCCTGCCCAAGACTGTCACCCTGTTCTCAGGCCGAACCCCTGCGCTGCCTTGAATCCCGATCGGAAAATCACTCTTTTATGAGGGACTTCTGAAGCCTTCTGAAAATGGCATTGCTCCTTTATTGTCTGCTCTGTGTATATGCATCGCTGTTGCTCGAGTAAAGAACTCTCAGCGGGTTTATTAGGCAAAACCTGCATTTTCTAAATACTTGTCTTATTCCCTGTGATCCTGTTTACACATTCAGGCAGTGAGCAAAAAATCTGGAACGCCAGTGTAAAGTCTCCTGACTGGGCACTGGGCCGCCATGCGGAGCCATGGCACAGAGTCGGGAACTAAGGAATTAAGAATCATTGTTTTTTCCTCATGATGCACTGTAACAGATCTGGCCTGGTGAATGCAGTGAAGGAATGACAGTCACCTTGCCGCTGTCTAGCAGGGTGTCTTCAATAGGGAGGCCCGGGTCTTTTGCCACAGGTGGGGGGCTGTGAGGTCCGAGCACATCCGCCGGCACTGTTCCTGCGCGCAGTCCTGGCCCTGAGAGGGCTGGTCCAGGCTGGGGGTTCTTCCTGCCACGGGTGGATGTGAACACTCAGAAACGCGTGGCCCCGTGTGAGAGCCGGGGTCTGGGCCCCAGCGTGCTCCAGAGGCCCGAGGCCGAGGACAACTTGGAGGAGTAGCAAGTCCTGGGACCCTCTGATTCCGAACAGGATCAGGAACCCTGGGCAAGGCAGCCCCTCCTGTTCTCTGATCTACATCCGCTTCCCCATCGTTTCCTCACACCACAGCCGTCGGTACAGTTGTAGTAAGAGGGCGGAGCGGCCAGGGTACGGTTATTTACTCTGCTGGTGTCTTCAGCGAGCGAGGGGGCTGAGAGTGGGCATCACTGAAAATGGCAGGCGTTTCCTTACTCTGAGAGTTGCAGGTGTCTGAAACAGACTGGTCACATGTTGCATCAGGAGCACGCTGAACAAGAGTCTGTGATCAATAAGCCACTAATAACAAAGGGGCTCGTGAATACGGGTGTGTTTGAACCTGCCTGGTGTTCGGTCACCTTGCACCTAACAAGAGTGAGCTGGCTGAGTGAGCTCTGCCGGGGTAGGTTGTGAGGTGACTGTGGGGCTCCTGTCCAACACCGTGCGATAGAAAAGCCCACCAGCTGTCTGCTCGCCCCTTAATGTCGCGATGAATGATCTGCCCATGCCTGTGCGCGAGGCTCTTCACACACAGACGCACACACTTTCCCTTGGCCTCTGAAACTCCAGCTGATGCCAGCTGATGCCCAAGTGTCCAGTGATATTTACACACGGGCCCCAAGGTCACGCCCTTTGTTTGGCCAGCTGGGCACCGGGGGTGGGGGGTCAGCTGTTGGGAAGCTGGAGCACTGCTGGGGCCACTCCTGGCACTGACAGCTCCGCGTGTAGAAGGGCATGGGAGGGTCCAGTGCTGCCTGCTGCCACCTGCTGGTGTGGCTCATGAAAGCCCCCGGGACCCTGAGAAAATGGGCTGGGGCTTTTGGAGAGGCGACAGCTGTATGAAGAGCAGTCCCATGCAATGGTGCCGATTGTGTGACAGCTGCCCAGTGAATTATGTGCACAGTACAATCCCACGAGCTTGCTATAAATCAGCCTTATGAGCTGTGTCAGGCCAGGGAGCTTTGTTTATGTGAAACCCTGTGACCTTCGAACCCCCTCCTTCTGTGTAAACGAACAAGACTGATCTGTTTATATCGCTCATGTTGTGGGATATTCTTCACCACAAGAGCAGGAGACAGTCCTGTGTGGTTTCGGTTTTTATTGAGCTCAGTAAGGGCAGCAAAGTGGTGCAGGATCTGCTGTGTGAGACAGACACCCTGCAAGGTTTTCCCAGCTCTTTTGTACAGGACCGCTCAGGAAGACGTTTGTTTCACACTCTGATTGTCCTGTTTTATGATGTGTTGGTGAATATTTGTCCCAGGCTTTGATATGTGATCCGCACTGTTAGTCCTGTCCTTTGGTATGTGATTTCCCTTCTGCAAGGTGTTAAGGGTAGAAGCAGTTATTTGCTGTAGCTGTTAATGCAAGCCAGCTTTATCCTGTCTTCCTTCTGGTAAATGCTAAATAAGCAGATCCCAGCCACTGCTCCCATACCTTCCACAATGTGTAATATTAATATTAAGTACTAATATTGTTGAGCTGGATGTGTGCTGTATATATATGTGCCAGTTCGCTCTTGCACTGTGCTTGGTTGTAATCATGTCCGTTTGTTTGTTGCAATGGAAAGAGCCTGGTCTCTGAGCTCTGCTCACTGTGGGGTTCAGCTGGGCTCCGGGCTTCTGTGCTTCGGACGTAAGAAGAGGTGTCAGGATGTGTGTGTCACTGACAGGTGGGGTTGTAATAGCTGATGGCTTCAGGAAGATGTGTGGACATATGGAAAGTTGCAAAGAACATTATAAAAGCTACAGATGAGACTATGTGGCCCATTTAGCCTGTTTGTTAGTTCGTAGATTATAGAGCCAAGAGTGTCATTGAGCTCTTTCCTGAAACAGACTTCAACACCAGGCTGGGTAGCTGAAAAAGAAAACCATGCTGTACATTTTCATGTGCTGATGGACGTGGTGGATATGGTCAAATGGTTAATGACCGCTTTCTTACCCAGCTTGCTGCAGCACCTACAAGAGGACGTGCTTGTCTGGATCTCTGTTTGTTGTCCACAGTCCAGCATGGACTCTGAAACAACTGTATAACCAAGCAACACAGTCAATAACTGTAGACAGATGATACCATGTGATGAAAGAAAGTTAGATTTTGATTCCATTTCTGAAGTACATTAGCCCCTCTGTGCCCTGTGGCAGATCCAGACCAGATCTTTCTTGTGATGTCCTTGTGTGAAGCACTGTAGGACTGGGCATTGGGCTGCATGCTCCACCTCAACAATACGTTTCAAGTCCTTAATTTTCTAAATGAATCTGCAAATGAACTTTTCACTGGAAAAAAGGGAGAATCCACAGAGGGTGAAGTCAACAGTGTCAGACTTCTTGACTTCACCACTTCAGCACAGGGAAACCAGCTGGCCAGCACCCCTGCAAGTGTCTCGGCATTAGGAGAGCAGCGCTGTTGTGGCACTATATTCATGGTATGAGGAATATCTGAAACCTACACTGCTTTATATAGGAGGTTTATGCTTTTTATGTTTTTTCAGAGCAAGGAAGCAGAATAGTGTCACTGTGTATATTGAGCTCAATATGAGCATAACTGGAGAGGCTGACTGACAACACGTCCAGAATGCCTCAAAAATGTTCATATTGCAGATTAGCTATGACCTTTTCAGCTTTAACACTTACTGTTTAAAATCCTAGTCCTCGGGGTAGTTTATTACACCAGTCACTCTGTAGCTCTGGTGTTCTTCCAGTGTTGCCATTAGTACTGTGGATCAGTGGAGGGCCAGACTGTGCTCTTGCTCCGGGGGGTAGATTTCCAATGCTGATAAAATCTCTCTCGGTATCCTGTTGCTTGTCGAATGTTAACAGCGGGGTTGGTCACACAAATCATCGTCCCTTCATGCTGTCCTGTCATACTTTCTTGCCAAGCAGCAGATTCTCTGCCTTTATTACAGTATGTCTGCCTGAGAAATCTAATTGGAGATGAGAATGCACAGTTTCTTACTTTGCTCCAGTTTTAAATCAGAAAGTGCTTTCTTGGCATTTGAAGTTTATGCCAGTTTTGACAGAGAATTTGCAGAAAAGACATGGAAAATAGAACAGAGTATGACTCTTAAAGAACAGGTACAGAATATTGAGTATATGGGTGTAAGGTGAGGTAACGGTTAACTGGGGGGTTGAGATCTCCTACTGTATGCAGCATCAAATCACCAGATTCCAGCGATTTGGAATTCCTTTGTGAGCAATTAAACACTTTGTCACATAACTTAATGATACTTTGTCTCTAAAGCCATCTTGAGTGGGGTTTGCAGACTTTGGATCTGCCTGGGCTGAAACTGAGTCTTGCCCTGTCCTTTAGGGGGCGCCAGGGGTGAGGTTGATATCCCTGCACCTGTGCTCACGGCAATCAGCCTGTTTTCGACTCGGGTCTGAGCTGTTGCTAATGTTCATACTTTCTCCCAGCTGCCTCTCTGCTTTATAGGCAATGTTTGGCTTTCTAGAATCTCTTCAATAGATAATCTAAATACCTTTATTAACCTATATCTAGCAAGTTCTGCAATATTTTGCACTTCATGGGATCTTTCTGCGTGATTTATAACCTGAGTGATTCTCCGTGGAGCTGCCGCAGGTGGGTGTATCACAAGTCTTTATCGGGGTGCTGACTGGGGTCAGATCGGCCCTAATGCCCCCAGTTTCCAAGGTCACTGCCTCCCTGAAAGCCAAACCGTTTACTTTTGGCACACATTAAAAATGGGAGAAGCTAAATATTTACAATATGGACTTGGTCTCTAAACAGGCCAACGAGATGCAGAATGAATCAAATCCGTGAGGTGGTCTCTGCAGGTCCAGCCCGGACCACTGACAGGCGTGGAGGCACCGGGGGGGACTAGAGTGGTTGTTTATGGCTGTTTATCTTCCCGCCTGCAGAGCTTTTTGGGAAACCAGCAGTAGGAGAAAAAAGTACTATGTGAACTTAATTGTGCTGTTTTGTGAAGGCCTCTCTGCACACCTTGGCGTGACGGACAGGACGCAGGAGATCAGGCAGGTCAGCGCACACTCTCTCCAGCACTGTAACGGGCAAAGACCCTTAGAAAAAATACAGATGAGACTGTGGCCCATTTAGCCTGTTTGTTAGTTCATAGATAGTAGATCCAAGAGTCTCATTGAGCTCTTTCTTGAAAGAAGCCGGGATCTCGGCTTCAACACCAGGACGTGCTTGTCTGGATCTCTGTTTGTTGTCCACAGTCCAGCATGGACTCTGACACAACTGTTTAACCAAGCAACACAGTCAATAACTGTAGATAGACGATACCATGTGATGAACGAAAGTTAGATTTTGATTCCATTTATGAAGTACATTCGCCCCTTTTTGCCCGGTGGCAGATCCAGTCCAGATCATTCTTGTGATGTCCTCCTGGCACCGGACATTAAGCATTTCGAGTGGCTTGATGATTCCTGTAAACTGCTCTTGTCGGGCGTTGCTTGGAGCAGGCCGCTGGGATCTGCGCAGGGGCAGAATCGCTGCTGGCAATCGAGCTGGCGAGCTTGTGGGAGGATTTTTAAAGTTTGAAACAAGGGCAGATACTAAGCATACAGTTTTTGTCTGGCAAAATCCTCATTCAGATGCTACTGTATACTGTATGTCTCAAGCTGTACACTGACGTAGCACTAATCCATGTGTTTTTGCATGGAAGGGGCGTTGTAATGTCCTGTATGTGTCTTTACTGTTGCTGCCTGTTTCTGAATCTGAGCAGCAGGGGAAACCTTCAGGGTTGTTAATGACATGGTTGCCCTTTCTTATCATTTCAGTTAAAAATCTAAACTTGCTGATGAAACTCTAGGGATTCTAGGGGTTGTGAAATCACTGTGAGTCACTGTGAATATTTGAGTTGTGTTCTGATTAGAATTAGACTCAACCTGGAAGGTCTTGACATGTTTTCACGAGAGGCTGGCTCTGAATACAATCCACAACCCGTGACTCTCCTGGCACAGCTCTCCCTGGTCCTGTTAGAGAGATGCCAGGTGGTAGAGTAGCAGTCTTTAATTTGTCTCTCCCCTCTCTGTTTGTCTAGGGATCGCCGAAGAGAGCTCTGAGATGACATCTTGCTGACCAGCTTAGCATCTCGTCTGCCCTGGCCTGTCCTCCACATGGCTACAGCCAAGAAGAGTGAGTTCTCAGCCTCATGCTACAGAGGAACAGATAAGACTCCCGTTGCGCTGCGTATTCCAGGTGTTAGATGTTACAAGCTCTAGTACTGAGGGCGCAAGAAGTAATGTTCTTTGTGGTGGGCTGGGCTTCTGTGGGAACCTGCTGCCCTGGAAACTCTGAAACGGACCAAACTGCTGTGCAGCTGGAATCAGTGTGTAGAACTACACGGCATCACTCTGGTTAGATCATGCTCTGAAACTCAGGAATAAAGTTCTGTGAAAGTGCTGTGTTTGAAGCTGTGTGAGACTGTGGGTGTGATTCGAGACGTCTTTCTTCCCGGTGTGTGTGTGTGTGTCTGAGGGAGCGCAGGGCGCTGTGTGCGTGCAGCACGTCTTAATTCCCAGCCTGACCGCCTCTGCAGCCCCTCCGTGTGGTCAGGCTGGCTCACTGGCTGCAGACTACACTCTGGAAAGCCTCTTTCCTGGGCTGTACTTGGAATTGAAAGAGGAACTACTGTTGCAGCAGATTGCCATGCTTAATAAGTGACCCGTAACGTGATGACTTTGCACTCATTTATTATTAGAAATAACAAGCTCATAGCGGAAGTTGACTGAGCTCTGGCACGGGTGCCTGTGCACTAACAGCGCCCTGCTCTTTGCCTGGGAGTGGAGCTCTGTGTGCTCTGTCCAGGGCTCCTGGGGCAGGCTGTCCAGTCTCCCACGCCTGCTCCAATGGAAGGCTTTGGATGCAGCTCATCTCATGATATTTGGTGCCGTGGATGGCGTGTGAACTACCAGAGAACCGGCTCAAACGGGGTGTGTGGTTTTAGCTAGGGGACTCAGATTGTCTTTGAGTGTTTTATAAAGGTAATGCGAAAGAGTATGAGATTATATACATATTCATCATAGGCCCTTCTACTGCTAGTAAAGACAAAACACTTGCCATCTTTGCAATGGGGAATTGCACACTAAACATTTTTTAGTTTTTCTGTTCCAGTTATCTCTTCCTCATTTGCTCTCTGGTCTTTTCTCATTCACTTTTCACCTGTGCCCCTTTACTGCTGGTCTGAAGGCAAATCACACCGATCTTTCAAACACATTCACATCTTTTAAATATCTCTGTGCTTTGTTGCTTTTAGCACAGGCACTAAGATATTTCTCAAACCTGCTTTGAATGTCAGTCTTGTCTGGGGAAGGCAGCCAGTCTGAAATCAATCAGCTTGCGTGATATTGTGCAGGACACCCAGTCTTCATAGTCGCCTTTACCACAGGGTGAAGAGATAGCTGGTCATTCAGGGAAAAAATGCCTGTAAGCTAAAGATAAAACACAGTACCTCATTATCTGTGAAGCAGTGCTCTGTCAAGCCAATTAGTAAAGCCAGAAAGACAGAATCTTCCGGTTTCAAAGAGGCTTTGAGACTCTAACTTTCAGTTAGTGTCCTGTGAATAATTTAACTGTGAAGCGCTATGTGTTAGACTCCATTACTGTTATTGTTAATTTGCACTCCATGAGGGAATCCTTTTTAATAAAGTTTTCAGGAAAACCATTACGCTGGTGAGAGTTTTATCGAAGTAAAATCTTTGTGCTCCTCGTGAGGCAGAGCCAGGGTGAGCCGAGCTCAGGAAACCTGTTGTTATTGACCACTTTTTATGATCAGAACCTTTGGCTAGTAATTAATTGATGTTAAGCATACGTTTTGTGACGTTTACTAGCCCCAGGTAATGGAGTCTGCTGCAGTTCAGGTATCCACAGCAGGCCTGTACACTTGCAGTATTCGAAGCTAGATCTCTGCACCTGTTTGAAACTGGAAGAGTTCGGGCTTCCAGTGGGATGTCCTGGAGAGGACAGGTCACAGATTGAACAAGCCAGAGGGAACAGATTTGTCTTTGGTTTAAGTAGGGGGAGGATGAACAGCCTTCTTCTTTTCTGACTGTACCTCTCCATCATTACTAGTTTTTTTTGGAACTTCGCTAGCAGCCATATCACCCCGCAACTCTCAGCTGGCAGCCCACTGAAGCTCAGCAGGTGTGGGCCTGGTCAGTACCTAGAGGGGAGAGAGTGATGGGGACACTATACTGTAAAAGGGCGCTGTCCTCCAGATGAGATGTAAAACCGAGGTCCTGACTCACAGGGGTTATGAAGAATCGCAGGGTGTTTCTCGAAAAGAGTAGGGGTGTTACCCCGGCGTCCTGGCCTAATTTGCCTCCAAATAATCCCCCTCTCTGAACTGGCTTCATCACTCTGCTCTCCTCCCCACTGATTGCTGGTGTGTGGGGAGCAGACTGGTGCATCATCCAGGTGGGGCTGCACACTGGTGGAGGGGATCTCCATTACTGAAAAGCGCTTTGAGTGGAGTGTCCAGAAAAGCACTGTAGAAGTACAAGGAATTATTATTATTGTTACTGCAGTTCCAAGTGCTGGGAGGTGTGGGCCTATGTCATATGAGCAGGCTGTGTTTACACAGGTGGGAGCTCTGTCTCTCTTTCCCCAGACCCCAGCCAGCTCGCTGGGCCCCTGCCAGTGCTGCTGAGGAGGCCCAGACTGAAACTGCCTTGTACCCACAGCGGGATACCCAGTACAGGGGAAGGGCAGTAGAAAACACTTCAGGAGCCTGGGCTTGAGATCTTGGCATGTTGTCATTCTGTGAGGACGGCTTGCTTTCTGGAGCAGTGTGAGCAGGGCTCGGAGCCTACAGTAGGTGTAGGATGGGTCTTTAGGACAGCTGGTCGGAGTTGGAGTTTTGCCGAAAAGCTCGGCTGTTGTGTTTGCAGTTGAGATGGGAAGGTTGTTGCTCACTTCCCTGCTGGGAGCAGTGCAGGGAGGCCTCCTGGGGGCGCCGTGCTGAGCTCAGGCCCGGTGTTTGCCACTGTTACCAGGCACGTTGTGCGTTCTGAAGAAATCCTCTGGGTTAGCTTTTTAAATGCCTTTGAGGGTTTTGAGTACTTTTAATCTTTTCAATGAGGTTTCAGACTAAAAAGGTCCAGTTCCTTCAGGACATTCCCTGCATCCCCAGAAAGTGTCCAGTTGCTCTTCTCTGGCCTGATCCTGAGCAGCAGCAGTGGAGTGGAGTAGTTTATTGCCATAGGCACACGTACATTGGAATTCTTAATCGCACTGATCTCTCGGGACACACACAGTACAACAGACAACACTACACAATGTAGACAACAGGAACAATAAATCTATTGTGGAAAAATAAGTAAATATGTAGTAGTGAGAGTGAGAAAAAAGGGTAGACTATGTAAAAAGCGCAGAGTGCAGATGTGTGTTGAGTCTGAGGCGCTGCAGTTAGCTGCTGAGGATGTGCACTGCAGCAGGGTAGAAGCTGTTCTTCAGTCTAGTGCTTCGTGCTTTAATAGTGTGGTACCGCTTGTCAGAGCGCAGGGAACAGTTTGTGGCCGGATAGTTGGGATCCTTGGATTGGGCTTTATTGCGACAGTGGCTGGTGTGGATCTCACCCATTGATGGTGAATCCCATCCTATAACCCTCTGTTATATTCTTATCTCTGTAAGAATAGAATTCTCTATCGTTAACGTCTTTTCTGCTCATGTTCTTTTGTACTGCCAGCTTTTCGTGAATACCTCCAAAATGAAATCACACTGCTGGCTCTTAACCAGCTCGCCTCAGCAGCACAGTCATGATGGGCACGATGGGCGCCTGTCTGAAGGCGCAGGGAGAGCAGAGAGTGGTTCTTGGCGCTCGTGCGGGCTGCCCTGCGTGGCTACGGGCCCATCGCTCCGGCTGCTTCTGGGGCAGGGGAAGCGCTCTCTGCTCTTCACTGCAGTCCTACCTGCACAGCGTGTAGAGCACAGGCAGGAACAGTGGACGACACTCGCTCTAAACGGCATGACACTTTAGTAGGGCGTAGCGCTGGGGCAGTGAATGCTTGTTCTCAGTGATCGACAAAAGAAAGAATATCCTGACTCATGCCTTCCTTACTCATGTGTCGTGGTTCTCAGGATGTAAAGTGTGAAGAGCCGTGTCCTCGTGTCCTCGTGTCCTCGTGTCCTCGTGTCCTCGTGTCCTCGTGTCCTCGTGTCCTCGTGTCCTCGTGTCCTTATGCATTGGGGTGCAGAACAGGCCTGTCTGCTGCCTCACCAGACGTCAGGAGTTTTTTGTGTTACTCCTTTCGAGAGGGAAGTAATCCCCCTGCTTACTGCAGATCTCTGGGGGTCCTTCATTTATTCATGTGTTTGTGCTGGCGAGGAGCTCCAGCACACGCTGAGGCCCCCCAGGGCTGGGCGAACTGTCTGCCTGGCCTGTTGAGTAGCTCTTTTACAGGATCGGCCCACGTAGCTGTGCTGCTGAGTGAAAGATTTGTCAGCAAAGCCTGTGGTTCCGGTGGAGAAGATGCCATATTTCTGAGGCTCAGGGCTGTCTTTGTGTTGTCGTTTTCTCTCTGGGTGTTCCTGACCTGAGCTGCGCTCTTGACTCGACTTTCGGTGTACATTTACTGACTGCTCAGTCACTGTTTTTCTCCTGGCTCCTTGTTTTCATAAAGAAACTGTGAAATATCTTCGTGGGATGCATTATTGACGTAGTCTTACATTTAGGTTTGGTTTCAAAATCGAATGTGTTGGCAGCAGTTATTCATCCAGCCATTATCGTGTGTCCAAGAGCTGCTGATTCCTGGAATGGGTCGCAGTAAAACGGCGCTCATCCAGACTCGGGGTGGGGCTGCTCCCTGAACACGCACTGGAGTAGTGAACCTCGGCAGCTTGTATTTGGAGGGTGGGAGGAAGCCGGACTACGTGGAGAAAATCTTGCATCCCTCGCAGAGCACGGGAACGCCACACAGAAGGTGCCCTAGTACAGAATTGAACCCTGGACCCCAAAAGCTGTGAGGCAGCAGTTACTGCCAAGCTACTGTACCAGCCCCCACAGTTTGTCACTAGCTCTTAAATTAAAGCCTTTCCCGTCTCGCCTGGCGTTATTCAGGCAGTAAATAAGCCATATGAAAAGGTTGGGTGAGTGTGTTTGTTTTCTACTCGGGTTGTGGATAAAGTGCATGTTCCAGACCTCCCTGCACAGAGCACCCAGTGTGCGCATCGCTGTCCTGTCCGTCCTGACCCTGTACCGCCTTTCCAGGCTCCAGGGCCAAGGCGGGGGGTGTGCGATTCTCCGAGGAGCCGGCCGCCACATCCCACGTTCATTTCGACGACAAGCTGCATGACTCGGTCGTCATGGTGATCCCGGAGCCAGATGGGAACTTCCTCGTGAAGGTGGGTGTGGCCAGGGCTGCTGCTGCAGTCGGGGGCGGGGTCTGTGACATCACCGTCATGAGATCCTTTTGATGTCCATCTCCTCTCTTCTTACCTCTTTCCCTCTTCTGACAGCTGCAGGGCGATCATGTTTTCTTGAGGATGGGAAGGTAATGTTATGAGTAAATTTCAAGGCAGTCCCAAGGAAATAAATAATAGTAGAATTAGTGTTTCATGTTTTAATTATGTTCTGCTTTTACGAGCTGGTGAATCTTGTACCAGTTGTACCAAAAAACAGATATTTAATTATCCGACTTTGGTGCAAACCTTGTCAAATTGTGGACATGACCTTGAAATGTCCAACCCCTGGCATGAGACCCTGTGTTCTGCATCTCCCAAGCCCAACAGGACTGCAGCGCAGACGTGCAGACACCCACTGGATGCAGAGGAGGGATTCATGTCTTTTGTTTTAGCTGATTAATTTTAACATTACTATTGTTTGTTTTAGTTGATCTGTATTACTTTAACTTGAAGCCAATTCATTCGTTCTTTAATTTCACAAAAGAAGATGTCTTTTTTACCATGCATACTACTGTATATGCTGTGGTGTATTACATTTTGCGATGGTATAGAATCGACTTTTGTAAATTCTCAGCGCTGAATGTTGAGATCCTACTTCGCTGCTAAGCAAGATGACTGGGAGTGCAGACGGCTGGAATGCTGTGTGCTCCAGGCACGGCCCTGGCCTCCAGACCAGGCTTGTCCTCCCTGGAATTGGGTCGCATGACGTTTTCATGGGAGACGGCATTTTACAGCTTTCTCTCGATGAGCTAAAATCATTCAGGGGGGAAAAACAACATGCTCCTGTAACACGACAGCTCCTAGCATCATTGCAGCAGAACACCCCTGCAGATTGTTGACCACAGGTGCATTGTGGGTGAGGCTGTGGCGACTGTCAGTGCAAAAGACGCGTCCAAGTCTGATCACGACAGGAAGTGTCCGCAATGCTGTCAGTGACATTTCCCGTTAATGGCTGTAATGTTGCTGCTGCTCCATCACAGATGCTCCGGCTGTGATTGTCTGCTCAGCAGGGCTCTCCAGCTATGGGTTATAGTGTAAGATAGTACAAGTGAATGCTGTTCCAGTCTTCGCAGTAATGAAGAAAAACTATTTACTTGTCATATACGTGTTAGACCAGAGATCCTTCTAAAGATGGATACACATTTATGTGTCTTTCCAATTTCATAGCATGCTGGGATTGTGAGGTTTGTACAAGTGGCTTCGTTTCATTTTGAAACCCTCCTGAGGATGGGAACTCCGGCCGGCAGGTCATGATCACGTCGTCGGCCAGACGGCCGCAGTGCGCCCCCTCTTGGCGTGTCTCGATCAGCCATTGTGCCGGTCTGCTGGAGGTGCTCAGTCGTGTGATTGTGGTGCTGTGTGGCCCATGAGCAGCGCGGGCCCTGCGGACTGTGTGTAAGTCGCTCCCGTGTCTCTGCAGGTGGGGTTCCTGAAGATCCAGCACAAGTATGAGATCGTGTTCACGCTGCCGGAGAGCCCCCGCCTGGGCGAGAACGTGAGCCCCGCGCCCGTGCCCAACCCCCACCTCCGAGTCACCGACGTCAAGCCTGCGGCCGAAGGTCTGTTCCCCTCCGGCCTTCGTGAGCGCTCTGGCTGAACTGTCCAGTGGAGCCGTCCTTTAGAGCTGCTTCTCTAGCTCATCAGCTCTAGACCAGGCCCCGTAACTGAAGGGGGAAAGTAGTGCCTCTGAGGCGTTTCTCAGTGGCATCTCGCTGTCAGAGTCCTTACGGGCACAGGGAGCTGCTCCTTCAGCCTGAACAAACAGGGAGGGACTCCTGTCAACTGTGCTCGTCTTTACTGGCTCCAGGCTTCTAATGTCAAACAGAATCATTTTTGCTAAATTTGATCTGGAAAAGGCATTCTGGTGGAAGAGGGTGTAGTCTGGGTGTCTTTGCCCATCTTGGGTCCTTTGATGGCTCGTAAATTTAATATTAAGGCTGCACAGTTCCTAAATATGGGTTTGGGGCATGTTATAGCACCTTAAAACGCACAATGAAACGTTCAGACCTACAGCTCTAAGAGGGTCTGTCTGTGTAGGCAAGGCCTGGCTGGTAAAAAGCAGTCTGCACGATCCCTCCCTAGATCACTCTGAGGTCCTGCAGCGACACATCTTCCTGGTCCTGCAGCCCAACAAGATCACCCAGGTTAGAGCTTCATGATGCCGAAAGGTGCTTAAATGACCTTGTCCTAGTCCGAGGGTGGGGGGTGTCTGGGAGCCCCTCTGTCCCGGGTCCGATGGCGGGGGTGTGTGGGAGCCCCTCTGTCCCAGGTCCGAGGGCGGGGGTGTGTGGGAGCCCCTCTGTCCC